CCTGCAAGGAATCGCCTGGCTCCACATCCCATCCCCTAGGACAGGGCCAGCCTCGGGGGCGAAGGGGCCCAGTGCCTGGAGCTACCCAGAAAGGCACTGAGGCTGGAGTCTGCCCTGGAGTCCCACCTGCAGCAATCATACCCAGCGGCCCCTCGGGCGGGCCCACAGGGGAGGCTGCAGGCTGCTGGGCTCCCTTCTGTCCCTGAGCAGTGACCACAGCCTGCTTTACACACTCACTCTTTGTCCGCTTTCCAAGGACGACCAGCCTGGCACTCCAGCCTGGGCCAGGACAGCCAGGATAAAGCACTTCAGGCCTGAGGACCTGAGTTTGAATTCCCAGAAATCCTAACAGCCGGGCACGTCGAGCAGGCCTGCAATCCCAGTACTGTGCAGGGGGAGGCAGGAGGATCTCCAGGGCAAAATCTCTAGGATCTCTAGGACCTCAGTGGGTAAAGTGCTTGCTGTACAAGTATGTTGGGCTGAGTTCAAATACCCAGAAAGCAAGGTGCAGCTTCGAGGCGGAGACAAGAGCTAGAGGGCTAGCTGCCCTGGTGTGTGCACTGGGAGACAGAGGAAGCAAAGATCCACACCTAAGGTTGTCCTGACACACGTGCGCACACACAGATTAAAAAAAAAAGACCACAGGGCCCACAGCGCACGGGTGGCTTGGCAGGGCCTTGTCGCCCAAACTGTGCAGGCTGACACTATTGGGGGGGGGGCAGGCTGAGACCAGGGGACATGGCGAGACAGGACCACGGCAGGCACCCAGGGCAGTGGCCCTCACCCACAGCTGCGGCGGAAGCCACCTCTGGGGTGATGGTGTTCTCCCATGGCCACCGGCACTGACTCAGAGAGGCAGGGGTGCTTATGACCTGTCACCCAGGGGAGGGGGGTTCCACGAGGCCCAAGGCTAAGTATATGCCGGCTCCTGTGCTGCTCACACCACAGGAATTGTCGTCACCCCAAGTGAGGAAGGCAACACACCACACTAGGAAGCTGTGCCCTCGCTGTCACTGGCTGGGGCTGGAGGAACCCAGGACCTCGTGTGTGTGCGAGGTGAGCACTCGCCACCGAGCTCCACCCCCACCCAGCCTTGTTTCTTTACGGCTGTGGTTTTTAGGGTGTGTGTGTGTGTGCGCGCACGTGTGCGCGCGTGTGTGCACGGTGGAGGCCAGAGGTCAACATGGGTGTCCTCCATCACCCTCGACCTTCACCATCTGACCCAGGCTGGCTGCCCTGGGCCGGCCCCTCGTGTCTCCAGCCACCAGTGGAGACCGGGCTGCAGGCGTGCCTGGCGATGGCTGCCTTGTAGGTGAGTGCCGACATCTGAACTTGGGCTGTGCTCGCACAGCAGCGGCTCCCATCCTTTTCCCAGCCATCGTTTTGTGGCTGTGTTTCGAGACAGGGTCTATGCATCCCAGGCTAGCCTGGAACTCTCCATTCTCCTGCCTCCATCCAGAGTGCTGCGATCCACACCCAGTTGGAACCCAGGGCTAAGCACATGCTAGGCATGCATTCTGCTCACCCAGCGCTGCCCTGGTCCCGAAGCTTTGTTTTTTAGTAGACTTCACTTCTCTGGAGTGGCTTTAGGTGGCGATGGCTGGTGCTCTCCTGTCCCCACTGGGACAGGCACAGCAGCGGGAGAATGAGAGCCGAGAGAAGGGTCCTAGACCAGACCGTACCCAGTGGGGACAGAAAACCAACTCATCTGAGACTTCTTTAAAAACCAATTCACTGCTGCAAAGTTGTTCTCATGGTGCTGGGGTGGAGTCAGGTCCTCATGCCTCACCATTGGGACCCACTAGACACTAAGGCTTAGCAAGTCACTGGGTCTCTGTCACTCTCTCTGAAGCAGGCAGCGCAGGAACACCCCATGAATTCAGGGACATCATTGGGGATGAGAAGGCTAAGGTTAAAGAAATGAGTCAACCAAAGTTGATCAGCGGCAAGTTGACCAAAGCCACAGGATGGGGTACAGCAAAGGGAGGGTGTTAGTGCCGCCTCTACAGAACCAAGGCAGCCAGAGTGGGACCTGCACAGGGTGGGCATGGGGGTGCCAAGGCTGGTCGCAGGAAAATCCCATCTGTGCGGTCACAGCCTGGACTAGAGACTGGACCAGTGGGCAGTGGAGCAAACAGATCCACTAAGCAATGAGGGTGGACAGGTGGAGGGTGGGCTATCTGGGACAGAGAGGAAGGAGGATCTACAGGACTGAAGGCCAAGCCCCAGGTCTCATGTGGAGGGACTTAGATGTGGTCCTGGCCAGGGGGGAGGACCAGCCGCACACTAAGCACTCTGAATGCCTACCCTAGGTGTGACCTGGCCACAGTGGACTGAGCCAGTGGGGACAGTGGGGCAGATCAGAAAGCTTCCAAGATCCTGGCTCCTTGCGCTTGACCCTCACGGCCACCTGAGGGCAGGAGCATGCTGGGCACCCACTCTGCAGATGGAGAAGGAGCCAGGATGCTGGACGAAGCAAGAAATGCAACTACCTGCCTGTAGGAAGGACCTCAACCCAGACCTCTGGGACTCCACCATGGCCTGAACTCCAAGCATGGCAGACGGAGCCCGGCACCCCACCCCCAGGCCCCGCAGTGACAGGTCTCTCCAGAGGCTGGCCATCTGCTACAGTCTGCTTCCCACCCCCTGCTCCCGGGAGGCTTGTGAGGACGAGTGGCCCTGACCTTGGTTCTGGAGCAAGTGACAAGCCTCAGGCCACCAGGCCTAAACCCTGCACTCCAACTCGAGACCCCTAGACCACCATCAGGAGTGCCTCTCGCCCCATACCTCTGCCCTGAGCTCACCACTTGTGGCCTCACTGTCTGTGGGTGCTGGGCTGGCCCAAGCAGCCTCCTCCCAGCACTCCCAAAGAGCCCCGGGCCCCTGGAGTGAGGCTTTGCACAACCTGCCAACTGATGGGCCAGGTGACTCCCCACAGGTGTCAGGTGGCACAGGGACAGATGGCTACCCCGCGCTGGGGCTCCCCTAACAACACAGAAAGGGATAGGCAGAACTCGGGGTCCAGAGGCCAGCAGAGGAGGGGAGCAAGGACCAGAAAGAAATCTAGGTCAGAGCTGGGTGGGCTGGGAGAACCAAGGGCCCCTGGGACAGGGAAGGAGGAGACAGGCTATGGGTGGGGGACAGCTATCCAGAGGACAGTGACTGGGTCTCTGCAGACCCCTCTATGTAGTCAGCAGCCATCATCCTGGGAGGAAGGAATTAGAAAAGCACTTGTCACTCAGACCTGTACATTCCTGGGTCTGAGCACACACACTCACAGGTGCACCTGACCACACTCACAGGCACACACAGCCCCTGGCACAGGAACACTTCTACTCCAAACACCAAAGCACACTATGGCAATCCGGGCAACCCAATCTCTTGCCTCGGACTTCGTGTCCTCCCAGGGAGAGCATGGAAACTCTCCCAGTGTCTTCCAAAGGGACCCTGAGAGTCTCTACAGGGCACCCACAAGATTTGGGGAAAGAGAGGGTTAGATGACAGCAGGCTGCTGGCGCAGGGTGGGAAGCAAAGTGCTGGCCCTGTCTGGAGACACGCCCTCCTGGTGGCTCTGGAGGCAGCAATTACTGGAGAACTAAAGAGAGTGATTAGCCTTTCCTGGTGTGCCTCTGTGTGTGGGGGAGCCTCTGAAGACCCACGTAATGAGCCCATTTTGAGGCAAGAGCTGTTTGGGGACGGTGCAGCTCCAGCCCGGGGACTGTCAGATACACAACTACTGGGACACAGAGACGTCCCCGGGCCCCGAACCTTCTGCAACCAAGATCCTCGGAGCCTAAGAAGGTGCAGGCAGCAGGCAGCAGGCTGCGGGCTGGGCGAACCCCACTTGCACACAAGCAAAGATACACTCTTTGCTTTTTGAAACATGTTACAGGATCCACCCTCTCGCTAGTTGAAAAAACTAACCAGCAACTCGGGCAAGACACTTCCCCAGGTGTTACTGAATTATTAAAGCGATGCCATCCTTTCCCCTCCCCCAGTCAGACAGATGGGACAAGGGGAAGCCCAGGAGTGGCAATGCCCAAACCGCACCGTTGACACCATCAAATCTGCAAACCAGGACCCAGGCGGACCAGAATCCCTAATACTCACACCTGGTTCACCGCAGCCTCCGCCCCCCAGACTCCCCCCGACCCAGAAGCCTCTAGCACACGACGGTAGGAAAGCCAGGCCCAGCTGTCCCCGGCTCTGCTGGCTGCTGGCTTCCCAGGAAGGAGGAACGGGCTGTCTGCCGGGGACGCCCTGGACGGGTGTGCACGCAGGCAAAGGCACAATTCATGGCTTACAGAGAGAAGGGGCTGGAAGGCAGCGGGACCTGGGGACGGATGCGAGGTGGGAAGACTGCCATCGCAACGGCAGATACGTGGACTATTTATTTTAACTTTTAAAAACAGGCAGATTACATGGTGATTTAGGGATTCCGGGACAAGAGGGGTCAAGTTTGGAAGGCATGATGGATGGGGTGCTTGGAGGGGACAGCATCGGTGTCCCCTAAAGGGAATCAAAATGCAAGCGGGGGGGAGCAAGGGCTTGGAGTGGGTTTTTTATTTTTAAGGATTTGGGAGTGCTGAAGGGATGGCTGGACCGGGCCACCCACGCTGTCATCTTTTGTGCCCTGGAAAGGGGACGCGGCGCCCCGCCCCCGCCCCGCCTTTGTCCGGCCCCATCGTCCCCCCCAAAAAACACACCCTCCTTTCCCAGGCACACAATCGTTTTGTCGCTCAACAAACAGCAGCTTCTGCCGAGCGGACAAAAGCCCGGCGTACCCCACCGCCCTGCGGAGCCGAGTAGGCCGCAGCCGAAGCCTCGGCCTAGAGTATGCGCGGTGGCCGCGAGGCGCGGCGCGGGGGCAGGCATGGCGGCTGCGCGGCCCCCGGAGGGGCCT